AAACAACAAGCGACACCTTTTTTTAAGGTTTCATGACGAAAACGGCACTAATTACGCCCAACCAAACCAAGCCTTAGGCTTAGTTTGTTTCTACTGCCAATGTTAATTTGTTGTTTGGATGCATAATTTTTGTAAAAACGTGTTTTTCAAATCTCTATTTTCTTGTCAATTTTCAAAGTTTTTTATTTTTTCTTCTCCCATAGAAAAATATAGTTTTTGAAACAACTCCTCACTAAAATGTTTAAAGGACTTCTCCAACCAAACGAAGCCTTAATGCCTAGATTAAGAGTTACCGTACACTGAAAGCGAATTCAAAGAATAGTTCCGTTGTATATATGAGGAGTTTCTGTTTGAATTAATGCAAAATTAGTTTATTATATGTTTTATTAAACCAAAAGGTGTCAGTGAAACGTTGCTTGCTATGTCGGTTTGCTTTATTTTAGTTTTGTTTAAAACTGTTGTTTCGTGTGTGTTAAATAGTTGAAAGAAAAAAACTATTTTTCTCTATTACGTTAAGAAATTAAGCATTTTTCTCTGTTTTCCTCTGTTAAGCGAAGCCTTTTCTTTGTTTTTACTTTTCTTAGATTCTCCATTTTCTCCAACATTGTGGTATCAGAGCCCGATTTCAATTGAAGTGGGCGTCGAATTTCTGAAGTGAAGTAAAGTTTTAGAAGATCTTGTGTATTCTTCTAAAAACAAGGTGTGCGATTCTCATTCAAATATTGTGAGAAATTTTTCATGGCAATAAGCACTCCTTCTCAACCTTTGATTCCCATCTTCAATGGTGAGAAGTATGAGTTTTGGAGTATCAAAATGAATACCTTGTTTAAGTCACAAGATTTATGGGATCTTGTGGTGAATGGTGTGCAAATTGGAGAAGATGAAGGGAGAAATAATGATAACAAGAAGAATGATTCAAAGGCTTTATTTTTCATTCAACAAGCTATGGATGATAGTGTATTTTCAAGAATTTCTATGGCAGAGACATCAAAGGAAGCTTGGGATATTTTGGAGAAAGAATTTCAAGGTTCACTAAGAGTAAAGACAGTAAAGTTGCAATCTATGCGACGTGACTTTGAAACTATGAATATGAATGAAGGAGAAGGTGTTCAAACTTATCTCTCTCGGGTATCAACAATTGTGAACAAAATGCGATCATTTGAAGAGCAAATATCTAATGAGAAGGTAGTCTCCAAAGTTCTAAAGAGTCTTCCAACAAATTTTAAGCATGTGGTGGCTGTTATTGAAGAATTCAAAGATCTTGCTATGTATTCTTTTGATGAAATGATGAGTTCGTTGATGTCTCATGAGGAGAGAATAAACATAAGAGAATTGAAGACAATTGAGAAGGTATTTCAAGTGAATGAAACATCAACTAATGACAATAAAGAAGGAGGTCGTGGTAGAGGAGCAGGAAGTGCATATAGAGGAAGAGATGGTCGTGGTGCTTTTCGTGGAAGAGGATCTTATGGAGATAAAAGATCAAGTGGAGGTCAAAAGCAATGTTATTATTGTAAGAAGTTTAGCCATATTGAGACAAATTGTTGGAACAAACAAAGGAACCAAGAAGACAAAGGTAAAGTGTAATGTGATTTTTGTAAGAAGTTTGGACATTCAGAAGATAGATGTTGTTCCAAACAAAAACAAGCCAATGTTGCAGAGAAGGCAACAGATCAAAATAATCTGTTTATGACACATTTCCAAGGTGATTGTAGTAATTCAGAAATTTGGTTCCTTGATAGTGGTTGTTCTAATCACATGACTGGAATGAAGTCTCTTTTCAAAGAGAATGATATGTCAAAGAGATCAAAAATCAAATTTGGTGATAATAATGCTGTTCAAGTTGAAGGCAAGGGAGCATTATTGTTGGGACAAATGATGGCAAGGTAAAACTATTACATGATGTTTTGTATGTTCTAAAACTTGCACATAATTTGCTAAGCATTGGGCAATTAATTAATTGTGGGTATAAAGTTGAATTTGATGAAAAGGCTTGTAAAATTGAAGACAAAAAAAGTAAGCAACAAATTGCAAGAATTCAGATGGCTCTAAATAAAAATTTTCCACTCAATATTTCAACAGTTCAAGATAAAGTTTTGATAGCCAAGAAATATCTAATGCAGAATTATGGCATTTTAGATATAATCATTTATATATGGGTGATTTGAAATTATTGTATCAAAAGAATATGGTTTATGGTTTACCTAAAGTGGACTATGGTGATATTTGTGAAGCATGTGTTATGGGAAAGCAAGCTAGAAAGTCTTTTCCATATGAAAAATCATGGAGAGCAAGAAGATGTTTGGAGTTAGTTCATGCAAATTTGTGTGGCCCAATGAATACACCTTCTCATGGAGGGTATAAATATTTTCTTTTATTCATTGATGACTATAGCAGAATGAATTGGGTGTATTTTTTTAAGCATAAATTAGAAGCTTTTGAAAAATTTATGCATTTTAAAACATTTGTGGAGAATTAAAGTGCCAAGAATATTAAAACTCTACGCACAGATAGAGGTGGAGAATTTACATCAAATGAATTTGGCAAATTTTGTGATAAGTATGGAATCTTCATGCAATTAACTGCTCCAAATACACCACAACAAAATGGGCTTGTGGAAAGAAAGAATAGAACTGTTGTAGAAATGGCAAGAAGTATGTTGAAGATGAAGAATTTATCAAATGCTTTTTGGGCTGAAGCTGTTGCAACTGCTATTTATATTTTGAATATTTCTCCAACAAAAGCTGTTCAAAATATACACCTTATGAAGCATGGAATGATAGAAAGCCAGTTGTCAGTCATTTGAAAATATTTGGAAGTATTGCCTATGCATTGGAGGATGGCCACAATAGAAGCAAGTTGGATATCAAATCAAGAAAGCTGATATTCATTGGCTACAGCATTCAGTCAAAGGCATACAGATTATTTGATCCACAATTTGAGAAGATCATTATCAGTAGAGATGTTATTTATGATGAAGATGGTATGTGGGATTGGAGTGAATCTCTAATTCATGATAAAGGAAAAGCAATAGTTGAATTTGAGGAGAATCATCAAATTGATATCACTAACAATCAACAAGTTAGTGATGGTTTGTCATCTAATTCATCTCTTTCAAGTCCAAGATCAATAGATTCAAGCACATCTGAAGAGAGGAATCATAGAAAGATGAGATCTTTGCATGAGTTTTATGATTATACATTTGCCCTTATGATTACAGAACCATTATGTTATGAAGATGCTTGTGAAAAAGAAGAATGAAAAAATGCTATGAAAGAGTAGATTCAAAGTGTTGAGAAAAATAATACTTGGGAGCTTGTTGATGTGCCACAAGGAAAAGATCCAATTGGTGTAAAGTGGATTTACAAAGTGAAGTACAATTCAGATGGAAGCATAAAAAAATATAAAGCAAGGCTTGTTGTCAAAGGGTATGCACAAAAATATGGTATTGATTTTTATGAAATAATTTCTTTTATTGCTAGATTTGAAACTGTTAGACTATTGCTTGCATTAGCTGCACAAATGACGTGGAAGGTTTTTCAATTTGATGTTAAATCTGCATTTCTGAATGGTGATTTGGAAGAAGGTATCTATATTAATCAACCACAAGGTTTCATTATTAAAGGCAAAGAGGAGAAAGTTTACAAACTAAAGAAGGCACTTTATGGGCTTAAACAAGCACCAAGGGCATGGTATTGAAAGCTTGATTCATACTTCTAAAAGAAGGAATTTCATAGAAGTGAAAGTGAGCCTACTTTATATGTGCTGGCTAAAAATGATGATTTGCTTATTGTTTGTGTTTATGTTGATGATATTGTGTATTCTGGATCTTCTAATGTGTTCATTGAAAAGTTCAAGGCTGATATGATGAAAGAATTTGTTATGATTGATTTGGGGATGCTGCACTATTTTTTGGGCTAACAAATTGTTCAAGCAGATGATGGAATTTTTATATCTCAAAAAAGATATGCATTGGAGTTATTAAAGAAGTATAACATGCTGAGTTGCAAGACTTTTTCAATACCCATGAATACAAATGAAAAATTAGTTCAGAATGATGGTACAACTAAAGCCAATGAGAAAGTATTTAGAGGAATTGTGGGTGGTCTTATGTACTTGACACATAGCAGACCTAATATTATGTATTCAGTCAATGTTATTTCAAGGTTCATGAATAATCCTTCTGTACATCATCTTGGAGCAGCCAAACGCATTCTTCGCTACATTCGAGAGATAACCAATTATGGGATTTGGTACAAATCAGTTTCTAACTTTCATTTAGTTGGTTTTATTGATAGTGATTGGGCAGGTTTTATAGAAGATAGAAAGAGCACAATTGGATTCATATTCAATCTTGGGTCTTGAGCAGTATCGTGGAGCACAAAGAAGCAAGCAAGTATTGCATTGTCATCTTCAGAAGCTGAATATATTGCAGCTTCATCGGCAGCATGTCAAGCAATTTGGATGAGAAAAATATTAGAAGACTTTCATCAACCTCAATTAAAAACGACAGACATATTTTGTGACAATAAATCCACAATTTCTATGACGAAGAATCCGGTGTTTCATGGTAGATCGAAGCACATAGAGCTCCGATATCATTTTGTAAGAGAAGTTGTGGCTAAAGGAACTATTGCAATCAAGTATTGTTCAACTGAAGATCATGTTGCTGATGGATTCACAAAAGCTCTCAATTTTCAAAAATTTGAGAGATTTCGATCAAATCTTGGTGTAGGAATTTTGCATTAATGGGTTGTGTTTGAATTAATGCAAAATTAGTTTATTATATGTTTTATTAAACCAAAAGGTGTTAGTGAAGCAAGGTTTGCTTTAGTGTGTGTTAAATAGTTGTAAGAAAAAAATTGTTTTCCTCTATTCCGTTAAGCAATTAAGCATTTTTCTCTGTTAAGAGGAGCCTTTTCTTTGTTTTTACTTTTCTCCGATTCTCCATTTTCTCCAACAGTTTCATCATGTTATTCGAGTAGCATAATCATTCAAGGTTTTGTCCACAAAACTAAGCATTTCAGGCTTCTGATATCTCCGTAAAGCAGATTTACATAACATAAAACCATTTTATTGCACTCTTCTCATAACATTCCAACCTCCATAGCCATTCACACTAGCGAAATCTCTACCCACATCAAAAAGACCAACATAACAGGAGCGCTAAACACATAGATGATTCAACAACCAGTTTTTTCACTGAATTTCCACATCAATTACCTTGCGCTCCACCTTAGATTTAGGGACGGTGACAAGCAACACCCCGTTCTTGAGCTCCGCCTTCACTTTATCCTTCTCGCATTCATCTGGCAGCACCAGCCGTATGTTGTATGCACTAGTACTGCTACCTCTCCACCACCCATCCTCCCCTTCCTTCTTCTCGCCGGTCTCTTCCTTGTGCTGGGTTTTAATCACCAGCACGTCGTCCTCCAATGACACCTTCACGTCCTCTTTGCTCAGCCCGGGTAAATCGTACCGTATCTTCACCTCCTTATCGTCCTCTTTAATGTCCCACGGGGCCCGAATCTCCCCTGCCGTCGTCCCAGGGAACGTAAACGCGTCCTCGAATAGCCTATCCATGGTGTCAAGCATTTGCCTCATCGTCCTCACCGGCGACAGCGAGTCAACCAAGCCTGCGCCATAAAATAACAGAAAGAAGTTAAGGAAAGGTTTCAACTTAAGGCCAACAAAATGATTTTTTAGAGAAGAACCGAGTAACTTTACCTAAAGGAGAGATATCGAAAACAGAGCGCCGAGGAGCGCGGGGTTGCAGAGCAGGGGCATCCTGCTTCTGCACCTCCAGTGAAGTATTTTCCTTGCTAACGTCCGTCGCTGTGGCCATCACGGTGCGGCGGCGTATCATGCGTGAAAGAGATGGAAAGATCGCCGTGGATTGAGGGAACCTCGCCGTTTGCCTCACAATGTTGGACGAGCAAGGGGAAAAAGCCAGTGATGCTGCTGCGTAAGCCATGACTAAAGAGACAAGAGCTCGCGAGCAAAGCTAAGCTACTGAAGTGTTGATTATGATCAACTGCGAAGAAATCTGAGGAAAATGTTGTTGATGATTGAATTGGGTTCTTTGCGTGGACTTATGTAGGGAGCGTGGCTGCGAGGGTGATGGAGTAGCTGCGAGAGAACTCGAGAAGAATGTAATGAGAGAACCGGCCTGAATGTTCTCGAAGCCAACGGAGACTGGGAGAAGGTGGTCGAGGCGCGGGACACGTTAAAATAAAGTTCGACTCGATGTCGATGACATCTCTTCTTTATGAAGAGACCAGTTCGCACCGAGGAAGCGAACCTGACCTGTACAGAAAGGGATCGATTCCAACAGGCTCCAGCCCAATTGTTGCGATTTCAGCAATTCATTATTTTGTTTACGCTACAGAGTAATATCTGTGATTTTCTTTTTAGAATTTTGCACTAATTCAGATAATTTTGGTAAAGATATTAATTAAAGAATCAACCCAAGCGAGGAATGGCTGTTTCAAGGTAAGGGTGTCAATATTTGATACGACATGAAAATTCGATACAAACTCAACCACAAAATTTTGGGTTGGGGTCAACCCGGACCCGAAACGGGTCATGTTCGGGTTCAACAAATTGACACGTTTCAAAAATAGGGTCGGGTTTGGGTTGACTCGAAATTGATTCGTTTTTTATCCGAAAACCCATTTTTTACCAGGAAACCTAGGGGTGTCAACTTCGGGTCAAGGGTTGGATTTGGGTCGAACTCGAATTGACTCGGCACTATACGGGTCAACCTGAACCCGACCCAATTTTGCATATGGGTAGGCTTTATGGACCCGAACCCGGACCTCTTCAGGTCTGAGTCAACCCAACCCGACCCAAATGACTTGATGCCAACAAAAAACTGTTAGTTTTCGGATCAAAAAACGGGTCAATCTTTGCTTTTTAGGTAAAAAACGGGTCAATCAAGGAATGTCAGGCCAAAAACGGGTTTTTTTGTCAAAAACGGGTCAATGGGTCAACCCGAACCCGACTCGATTTTTGCAACGAGCTGAATTATTAAACACGAACCCGACCTGTTTCGAGTTTGGGTCAACCCAAACCCAAAATATTCGGGTCGGGTCCAATATTGACACACCTACGGAAATCCGATATTGGCCTATTTTTTACCCAAAAATTGAAGATTAACCCGTTTTTTGACCTGAAAACTAGCAATTTTTTGTCGGCCCCGGGTCATTCGAGTCGTGTAGTTGACCCAAAGCCAAAGCAGATCACGTTCGGATTTACCCGAATAGTGTCGAGTTAGCTCCGAATTTGATCCTAACCTTATCCATGACACGAAATTGACACCCCTATTTCAAGGGGCATTTGTATCTAATTTAAAAGAAGATACTCATCACTAATTATTATTTTTATTATTATAAGAGAGGCATCTCTATAATGATTCAGGACACGGAATGTAGGTTGAACTTTTCTTGATTGGTAGGAGATTCCTTTCTCCCAAAATAATTAACGAATAAATATTTTATTTTCTATATAGAAAGGTTGATTTAAAGTATTTTTTCAATAGTTGAGGGCTTGGAAAACAAATCATGTGAGATAAAATTTTTTCACCGACCAACGAGCCACCTGCTGGATCCGTTGATCTAATGCTTTGAAAAACACTTTTTATTAAGCAAAGGAATAAATGAGTTTGTAAAAATGTGTCGCCTCCATGAAAACAGTGGCCTTTGAGATTCCTTTCTCTCACAAATAGCGACTGATATATATATATATAGACAAATTTAAAATTATTATTAAAAACATTTTCTTAATAAAGAATTAAATAATAATCGAACATTTCAGTAGGGGAGAAAAATTACTTTTAGCGAATGATATGATATGATTAATTTGTGTTATTACTGTTTAATAATTTTTTAATGAAAATTTTCTTACATAGTTTTTGAGTAAATTATGCAATATATTAGTGGATGCGGATGTCGATAAGTTGAGATGGAAATTTATATTGTATTTATTATTAATACTTGATACGGCATCACAAAATTAGCTTGATTGGGCACAAATCTCGAGGCAAAATCAGTTCGAAAACTTCAAAATTTAAATTCGAGAGCATATGAACTCCAATTTCAACGATCTTACAGTCAAACTGAGCTTCTCGGAAATACGAATCCAACGACACCAAATTCGACCCAATCCGAGCCCAAATGAGTCCGAATCAAGGACTCGAAGCATTGTTGGAAGCTTCAAACCGCAATTTGAGTTACCAAACGATCTTTAATTTTAACGAGCTTATATTCGAATCGAGCGGCTCGACGAGACGAATCCAACGAGCCCAAGATTGTCGAATTTCGACATCATTAAGGCCTTCAAATGCCCAACAAACGGTGCATGATCAAAGGATTCGATATCGGCCGTCCATTCAAAACACTCCTAATTCGCCCCTGATCTCACGCCTATTTGCGGGCTATGCCACTCCAGAAAAACTATAAATAGAGCCCTCATTCTACACCAAATGGACTGAAGTGAAGAGAGAGAAGAAGAAGAGAAAAGGGGAAAAGGCGATTCCTCTCCTCCTCGACCACCGCCGGAGCTCTTCCTGTCGCTTGAAGACGCCGGAACTCTGCCGGATTTTCAGGAAACACCGGGAATTTGCATAACTTTATAAATTTCCTGGAAGAAACAAATTGTATTCTGATTGTCCCGACTTGTGGGACGAATCAGCCATTTGTAAATCTGCAAAAGCACTAGTGGAACTTTACAACTGGGTGAGGCCCCGTGGTTTTTTCCCTTTTTGGGTTTTCCACGTAAAAACACTGGTGTTCATTTCTCTTTTCTGTTTGTGTGCGGAATACTAGTGCAACGCTAAGACAAATATTTTCTAACTCTACTGCCGTGTATATTCTAGCACGCAACAATACTATATATCTAAAGGTATGCTCTCCATTAATAAAATACAAACATTCAAACAAATTAATCAACTTTATTTTACCTCAAAAAAAAAAACTAATGGGCTATCTGGTTTGCTGAAAAAGGATTGTAAGATAAATACAATGCATTCAAAATGTTTTTGAATTGTTTGAATGAGTGTAAAATAATACAAGTTATTATTATTTTTTACTTAAAATAAAATTAATACTACGTAAACTCCAAAGATGGTGGACTTAGTAGTCGGTGGCATGGCAGTGTTGGCCACGGTGATAGTGGGCAGTCGACAATGAGTTGCCAGTGGAGGGTGGCGAGTGGCTGCTGACAGCCATAGATTGGGCAATGGTTAGTAGTTAATAATGATGGTGGCCAAAGGTTGGCGGTGGCTGACAACAATGGTGATGAATTTATGGTGTATATAATATGATATTGTCTTGACGACGAAAACGTGGAGCAGAGCCGAAACTGATATCAATTAAAGAAGTTATCAAATATGCTGATCATTTATCATTTTTTATGAGTTTATGAGGGATAAGAATATATGGATCATTTACCAGAGGATGTGTTGTTCTTGCTTCTACCTCTAAAAGCCAAATACTTTGTTGAGGATTCTTGATGGGACAAAAGATCATCATGAATAAAGGAAGTAAAAGAGGAACAAGCACTAAATTTTCAATCATATTGAATTTCTTAGGTAAATTTTTAATTACTTTTGTTGATGTGAATATAGCATAGTAGAATAGAAGATGGACTAATTTGAACACAAACACTAATAAAGGCAAGATGTGACTTCATGTTGATTATGTTGTTCATTGCTAATGAAATGCCCACCTTGCTAATCAAAAATATGGTTTATTACATTACATGATATGCTTGTAAATCCCCTACTTTTAAAATATTGAGCATTTTTTAACCCAACCGAAGCCATCTTTTATTTTATTGGCTGTGTTAGACTTCAGCGCTAAATCTGGACCTAATAAATCCACCCTAATGTGATCAACAGCGGCTTTGCCTCATATTTTTTCTGAAAGAGATCATTGAAAACATGGAAAAATTATTACGTCCGATGCCAAGATGCATCACCATTAATTAAAGAGACCACACCAGCGCGGTTCACTGGGGGCCATCCCGGACTCCAAAGCCCAAGCGTATTTTATCAGGACAGAAATTTAAACATAATGACTTTGGAATTGTAGGTGAAAAAAGAAAGACTATGGAACTCAGAATTTTCCATTAAAAAAAAAAGAACTTTGGCAATACACAACGGACACAATTCGACAGCAAAAATTCAAATTCAAAAAGCGGCAGATCTGATCAACTGCAGATGGGGCAAAGCATCAGTCCATTTTCATTACAGTCCGGACATCTCACTGTTTTTCCCCTCCGCCACTCTAGACCGCCGCCTTTCCCTCCTTCGCCCGTCGGTACAACCAGTTTCCGACTTCCACTACATCTGAAACAGGGCAGGAACCTCGCCCCTCCGCATCCATCGCAAGCCCCGCTATGCCTAACCTTCGGCAGCCCTTCAACGAGGACTCCGAGTCCTCCCTCCTCGTGAATCCGAAGCACTTGTTCCGCCCCACCTATATACCGCCCTCTGACAAATACCCTCGGCAAAGCAACCGAACCGGCCATTAGCAGGCCCGCTTGAAGACGCCGGAACTCTGCCGGATTTTCAGGAAACACCGGGAATTTGCATAACTTTATAAATTTCCTGGAAGAAACAAATTGTATTCTGATTGTCCCGACTTGTGGGATGAATCAGCCATTTGTAAATCTGCAAAAGCACTAGTGGAACTTTACAACTGGGTGAGGCCCCGTGGTTTTTTCCCTTTTT